AGTGTGATTAAATTAAAGATCTTGGGATGGGCACCCCATGGAATCACAAAGGTCCATACAGAGGGAGGAAAGAGAGTTGGTGTTAGAATAATTAATGTGTTGTGAGAATAACTTGATCAGCTGTAACTAGCTTTGAAGATGAAAGTGGCCTATGAGAGTAGAATGTGGGCATCTTCTAGAGACTGGACAAGGCAAATAGTTTCTCCCCTAGCATCTCCAAAAACCACCACAATCCAGCTGTCACATTGATTTTAGCCCAGGGAAATGCATCTTGAACTTCTGACCTCCAGAATCATAAGATAATAAATGTGTGTTGTTTTAAGCCACTAAATATGTAGTGACATGTAACAGTAGCAATAGGAAACTCCTACAGTGGACCTCGATGAATAAAGAATATTTAAAACCAGTTATGGTGGGAATTTGTTACCATAGCTTTAGACTAATTACTCTATCCCCAGAAATGCAAACTTTCAAACTGTTTAATTCTCAGTGTAGAAAATGTAAATAATACTGGATGAGGTACCAACCATCCCCATATAGGAGGCTGAAACCTCACTTGCACTCAGGGATAAATGTCTAGTATGCTCCAAGACAGGGTTGTGCATGCCTGGTCTATTTGACCCAGGGTTGCACTGTGTCAAATAGGGCACTGAATTGATAATGTTCTTCACTGGGCTAGCTGCAGGGCTGTCCTTTGTTATATCTTGATCAACTACTATCTGAACCCCCTTTCCCTTGATGAGGAATTTTCCATATTCTGCAACTTCTGAGGATCACACACTTAGTTTTCTGAGGGCCTAAGATGTGGATCTACTACCAGCAAGTGACCACTCCCTTCAAGTAACAAATACTCCAGCATTTAATAGGAGGTGAGAGACACAGGAGTAGGCCCTGGGAAAATTCTTTCTGGCCACTGCAACAGAAGAATCCCCCCACCACAAGATCTTTAGTTCAACACCAACCAGGTGCCGCAGAAGTCATGGGACCACGGGTGGTGTCTAGTGCCCAGGCCCAATAGGGTCAGCTGTGCAGTTAGAGGGTTTGCCACTGAGCAGAAGGCACCAGTGTCCTTTCCATTTGGTTTGTGTGCTCGCTTTCATCAGCCTTTTTTATTCCTCCCAGTTTGTATAAATGCATTCTTCAGTTTTCTGGAGATTCTCTAAGGTATTACTAGCCCTGGATTTAAGTTTATGTCACATGAAAAGAGCCAGAATCTATTTCTGATGGTTGCAGAGAAAGAAATGGGGGGGTGGGGAAGGGAGGCAGAAAACAAGATTCTTCCTGGAAGTTAACTGCATGCTGAGTTACTTTGCTGTTTGCCCCAAGATTTTCCAGAAGTCACCTTCCCCCTTAAACCAAAGGCACCTCAAGGATCAAGTTACTCCATTTCCCCTTGCTCTCTGATCGGGAAACACAAGTTGACTGTCTTCTCCAGCCTCCCACTTCTCCACCCTCAGGTCTAACCCAGTCTTCTGCAGTAAGAGAAAACAAATCAACAAACCTCACTCTCCAAGCAAACACGTCATCTTTCTTGCCCTTATTTTAGGCATTTGTTTCTATTTCGGAGTCCTCATTTCTTGTATTCTGCATGGTTAGTAAAGGAAAAGCATAGTCCTTGGGCTATCTTAAGAATGAAAGAGGAAGAATCTGCACAGAAAACAAGTCCACCGAGTAGCACCTTGAGATGTAACCCTAAATTCGCATGTTTACACACAGGAAATATACATATGCTTTTATTTTGTCTCTATATTTCTATTCACTGTTTTCAGTTCAGTTCAGTTCAGTCTCTCAGTCATGTCTGACTTTTTGCGACCCCACGAATCACAGCACACCAGGCTTCCCTGTCCATCACTGACTCCCAGAATTTACTCAAACTCATGTCCATCGAGTTGGTGATGCCATCTAGCCATCTCATCCTCTGTTGTCCCCTTCTCCTCCTGCCCCCAATTCCTCCCAGCAGCAGANGTGGACTAGACTTAGCGACTGAACAACAAGTAGGACTGAGGAACTAGATTTTAACTATATTTAATTTATAATTCATATGAAAGTAAAGTTAAAAACTGAAGACATGCACAATATTTTTCTATTAACACAGCTTTAAAACTCTGGTAGAATTACATTTCCTTTACTGTGTAGTATTAATTAGCAATGTAGAAGATTATATTTGTATTATTGTGTGCTTATAAAGGGGCTTCCCCAGTGGCTGAGCAGTAAAGAATCCTCCTGGAGTGCAGGAGCTGCAGGAGATGTGGGTTTGATCCCTGGGTTGGGAAGATCCGCTGGAGGAGGGCATGGCAACCCGCTCCAATATTCTTGCCTGGAGAATCCCATGGACAGAGGAGCCTGGAAGGCTACAGTCCATAGTGTGGCAAAGAGTCAGACATGGCTAAAATGACTTAGCATGCAGTCACTTGCTTATACTGCTTATACTTTTTTAGCTTTCAGTGGGGCTACTAGAAAAATTTACATTATGTATGTGGCTTGCATTTTCTTTCTTCTTACTTTTTTTTTTTAATAGCACGACTCTAGGTTTTACCACCAAAAAGGAAACATAGAGGACAAGATTAAATTACACTCAAGTATACAATTTAGATCGTCGTAATGCTACAGAACAGACAACTCAGATTCTTTAACAAATGATATTTTTTTAAAAAAAAAGGAGAGTAAGACACCAAGAGAGAGCTAGAGCGAGAGGGTAAGAGCAAGAAAGAGAAAAGAAGGAAAGAAGGAAGAAACCAAGGGTAAACATATACGTAAAGACTTAAACACATATCCTTCTGATTACAGTTTGTGGGTTTTATTTGGATACCATGAAAGGATACTAACTTAAAAACAATAATTGGAACAACTTTGAACAATATTTTATGATATTAAAGATGTTTAATTAACTTACAAATAAATATACTGCTATGAGAATAATACTTTCAAAAATAGTTCTCATTTAGAGAAACATGCTGATGTAATTGGGGCTTCCTAGGTGGCACAGCGGTAAAGAATCTGCCTCTCAATGTAGGAGACACGAGAGTCGCAGGTTTGATCTCTGGGATGGGAAGATCCCCTGGAGGAGGAAATGACAACCCACTCCAGTATGCTTGCCTGGAAAATTCCATGGACAGAGGAGCCTGGTGGGCTATAGTCCATGGGGTCGCAAGCAATTGGACATGACTGAGCACACACTGGCATAATCACAGATGAAATATGATGTCTGAGATTTGCTTTAAATGATATAGGAACAGGTGAGTGGATGGACTATAGTAAAACAAGTTCAGTCATAAGTTGATAATTGTTCTGTAATGTCTACTTGTATGTACTATTGAAATTCTGCATTTGAAAAAGAATGATAGGAGAGCACAGGTCTACCTGGAATAATGGTAGCTGAATCTCTCAACATGAAATTCAGAGGGCTAGGGACTAACATAGAGAGTCAAGGACACCGCTCAAAACCCTGCCCCAAACAACCAGGGGCCAGAGAACACTATAGATTCCAATTGGTTTGTATTCAACCGGGTCTGGGAGCCACACAGCAGGAGCAGGACCAGCAGAGACTCTGCACACAGAGGAGAGGGCAGCACGGAGGGAGTCCTCGGGAGGGAACTCGGGTGAAATCACTCACAGAAAGAGAATGTGGGTGAACTCCTAAGACGTCTGAGACCTGGCTGACTATAGCTCTGGTGATTAGGGAATTGACAGGAATAGGTTTGACAGTGCAGAGGACCAGAGGGTGGCAGTCTCGAAGAGGCCCAATTACTGGGATCAAGTGTGAGACCTAGCAGAAGGGAGCATCCTTTGGATGCTTGTGGTGAAGAAAAAGAATGGTACAACGGGCAGAATTTAAAGTTCCCACTGAAGGAAACAGAATCCCAGAATCAGGAGACATATGATACCTTTCCCCAACCTTACCTCTGCTAGAGTAACTGAACAAGAAAGACCAAGAACTAAGAAATCAACTAAGCCAATCAAAGCACTAGTTTGTTCCTACCTAGAACTAATCATGTAGCAGACACTGATTCCAAGGTGACAAAAAAATATAAAAAGAGTCAAAATTTTAGTTCTTGAAAAGATTCCCTTCAAAATCACCCACAAAACATAGGATAAATGTAAAATAGCATCTGTATCTGAATTGTTTCTGAACAAAACATCTGTAGAAGCACACCAACACACACATGGGGAAAAGCCCCAAAACTTCAAATAAGAAACACACAACACAAGATAGAAGCAGACAAGAAAGAAGAAATGAGAAGTGCCAGGAATTAGAAAAAACTGAAGCAAAATGAAATTCTCTGGAAAAGAGGCTAAATGACAAGGTACCTAAGGGATCATATTTGTCTGAAATTATAAGGGACAATGAACTAAAAAAAGTGAAAGATCAAACAGAATAGAAATGAATAAAAGATAATGAGAAAGGATCAGAGAGAAAGTCATAAAGACCTGGGAGAAACAGAACTGGAACAGTCAGTTTTAAGACCTATCCCACTAGAAGCTATTAGATTAAAAAAAATTTTTTTTTTCCTGTGAAACTGCAGGTCTCCTTTTGTCCTCAGTGGAAAGAAACTCAATTTACATTCTACATGTCAACAGAACATACAAAGCAAGATGATTTTTTAAAAAATAAAAAAACAAATTCATTGTGGACAAGTCACTTATATTCTCCTAAGCTGTTCATTCAGACTTAAATAGAACAAAGTAGGGAAAACCACTAAACCATTCAGTTCAATTCAGTTCTGTTCAGTCCCTCAGTTGTGTCCGACTCTTTGTGACCCCATGAATCGCAGCATGCCAGGCCTCCCTGTCCATCACCAACTCCCAGAGTTCACCCAACCCCATGTACATCAAGTCGGTGATGCCATCCAACCATCTCATCCTCTGTCGTCCCCTTCTCCTCCTGCCCTCAGTCTTTCCCAGCATCAGGGTCTTTTCCAATGAGTCAGTTCGTTGCATCAGGTGGCCAAAGTATTGGAGCTTCAGCTTCAGCATCAGTCCTTCCAATGAATATTCAGGACTGATTTCCTTTAGGNCAATAGAAGAAGCCAGATAACATTCATCCAGTGTGTCCAGCTGGACTTCATTCTCTTCTACCACCAGCTGCTCCATACTGAGACTTGTGGGGTTGGGAGAGCAGATGGTTAAACAAGAGGGATGAGTCAACCTGGAGCCATAGCTGGTTTTGAGGGGAGGGTGAAGGGACACGTTGGGAAAAACAAATGGGGAGTCCCCTTAAAGGGAGGCATAACTATCCCCCCACCCACAAGCCCCAACTGGGGCCTGAAGGCGCTTGCAAAGCGAAAGGAAGAGAGAGTGAGGGAGAATGAGCATGAGATGCTCTGAGCACAGAGAAGAAATGAGTTCAGGAGGAAGGAGAGGAGCCACCCCAGGACACATAGTCATGTCACACACGCCCTCAGAACATAAAGGCAGCTTCAAATGCACCATACATTTTGTTGAAATATACATGCTGCATTCAAATGAATACCAGCTCTGGCAGCATAATGGACTCCTAGAAATCTTGTGTCTGCAAGACCAATTTTTCTGAGACTGTGATGGGACATGAATTTTTTTTCCTCATTACTTTGCTTGCCACGAAATACCTGCCAAGGTCTTAAGACCAAAGACAGAGGCAGATAAGTATGGCCTGCTGGTTTTAATGAAAAGGAGAGGACAGAGGAGTACAAGAAATCCTGGGCTGATCAGTAGCCCTGCTTCAACTGACTGCAAGTTACTATAATTGAGAGGGATTCATAAAGGGTGAAAACAGACAACCTTGTGACAGGAACAATTTGTGGTGGTCTGAATGGAAGAAATAGGCATGTTCAACACTTTCTGATTCCCCTGCATGTGAGATGACCAAATGTCACCACTGATGTCAGACCCATGTTACTCCATAGTTACCTAGAGCAGATGATGTCTTGATTTTCCTCGTCCTCAAGATCAGCAAGATTTTCTAAGGATAAATTCAGACAAGTTGAGAAACACTTAGCAGGTCTCATCGTGTAAATTAACAACCCAGCGTCCAATACTGCCATAAGGACCTATATATCAGCAACGAGATGACAGGCTATTTAAGAAGGATAGTCCAGATGCCTCAAGTTGGATCTCTCAGACTCTCCTTGGTTTACTTTCCTGAGCCATCAGGCAATCTCTCTCTTCCCTGGTAGATCCTCACCATAGTATTCTCTTCCAAGTTTCAGTAAAAGTTTAAGATTCATCTTCCCAACAGAGTCTGGGGAAGAGCCCACAGCATTCGTGCAGAATACTGTTAATACTCAGGCTTTTCTCATCATATGCTGACTGCTTTAGCACAATGATGAGTGGAATGAACAAAACATCGAATCACATGAATCCTAGTTGTTACATGGACCCTTCAGTCATTCATGGGGCGGGAAAATGCCAGGGCTCTGCCTTGCTTCACGAAACGCACACGCAAGGTGATGGGAGGGCTCTTTGCATCCTGGGGCCCAGATGATTGGTTTGCTAAGACAAGCAATTTAGAGAAGCAACACTGGGGATGACAGCAGTGACACCAGGGAGCAACAAATAATGAAGGCTGTGAGCGCCTTTGGAAAGGCTCAGAAATTCAAGGGATACTTTGGGTATGAAAATGGGAGCCTTGTGGGCAAGAAGAGACATTGCATAGGAATCAGGGAAAAATACAGTCATCTCCGGACACCTGCATACATACAAGTGAGTGTTTCACACCAGCCTTGGGTCCGTAATCTAACTTGGGGCCTGACCCATAGGCTTCACCTGAATGAAGAAGACAGCACAGCTCCCAGACCCACCTGATGTCTGTACGTAAAACTCTACCACAGAGTCTGATTCAAATCACTGTCTACAGAACTTCCAACAGGGATGACAAATCTCAGCACCCCAGAGGCGAGGAGTACGAAGCACACAGAGTCTACCTGGGCATCCAGGTGGCATTCTATCACAAGAAAATACTCACCGGTTACATTCCGAGCATAAGAGACATCCAGGTCTTCAGGTGAGAAGATGGCTGTGCCCGTATAAGACCAGAAGGTGTGTGACAGGCTAGGAAGACCCGAGTAAGTCAGATAATAGTCATCCAGAGAGTTCTGTGGGACACCATATTCTGCCATCTGTGGCATCTGTCTGCTGTACCTGGTGGGGGAGGGAGGGCAAAAGATTAAGCCAAGACTGATCAGAAACTGTACAGTTCTATGTGGTTCTGATGGAATGTTTGAGTGGTGAAGCACGCCAAGGGTCTCATCCATCAGAGAGAGAAAAGTCTGTTTTTTATGTGAGACAAAGCGTGGTTTCCCAGGGGCAGAAGAGAGACAGAGCAGTAGGGGCTCAGTGCTCTGGCCAAAGAACAGGCTGATGAACAGACTGAATTCTCTCTGGTGGTGCAGTCATGCCTCACATACAGGGACACAGAACACTGGCTTTCACACTTCCATTTACGTTGCATTGACATTACTATGACACACACGCCAGCATGCTAACACCAAACAGAAAGCAGATACGCATCTCACTCTGTAAACCACACCTGATATAAAGATTCAGTGCAAAAAAATCACTCTGACTTAGTTCACCTGGGTCAAGTGATTTGGGTTTTAAACTTGACAAGTAAATAAGAAATGGGAAATAATAGAAGTACCACAGTGAAAGCAGAGATCATTATGAAAAAGGATAATAATGGTGGGCAAAACTGACGACACAATATATTCAGCAATTTCTCTTTTTCCCTGGATCAGGGTCTGCAGATGTCATGACTGTACAAAGAGCCTACGGATATTCAAAATTACCTGGGGGCAAACACCTCCGGTCCTTTCAGGTCATCATGATCATTCTGCTTTTCTGCAATAAATTCACAGGAGATTGTCATCAGGCAAATGCCTTTCAAAACGCCCAATCCGGTGCCTATGTTCACAATGTGGTAACAGGCTATTGAGACAGAAATCATCCAGGAGGCCCTAGAAAGAGCCTCAGAAGAAGGCACTGGGTTTCCTTCTTGAGCCATTGGGCAAATTTCCTTGATATCCTCTGTCACTGGAAGAGTATCCTGGTCATGAGTCTGTGCAAACAGCTAAATAAATCCTTTTCCCCACAGTTCCTGGGGAACAACTTTGCTACATCCTCAGCCTGCTATAATATTCAGGATTTTCCATCTGAAATGCTGTTTACTAATGGGATAAGTGATTACACACTGAGATAAATGGAAGTGGAATCCGTACACCATCAAGTCAAATGAATCTCAAAGCTGCAAACAGTGGCCATTCATCAGCTTGGGAAGTTCCAGGGGCCTGCCTTAGCTCAGAGAAACATACCAAAAGATGACAGTGAGGCTTACCTTCTGGTTTCAGAAGACTTTGAACAAGATATGTCAAAGGAAAAGAGAGAGCCTATGGGTTGATAGAAGTGAACTAAAGTAGTGACATCTCCAAATGTATAAACAAGCGTGCCAAAAGCCCTGGACAGGTGTAGGAACTCAGGGACATTACCCAGAAATGAAAATTAAAGCATTTCATTGAGATAAGAGGTTCACTCAAAATTAGGAAGCCTGAGCGCTACCTTCTGTGCCACAGGTGCTGAGGCACATGTGAGTCTGGCTGGACCACCTTGGGTAGAGTGGTTAACCACAGGGACACCCATGACAGTGAACTTAGAAAAGTTCATTCATAGAATGTCTTATTTTAAATGGAATTATAGAGTCTGGTTCAATCCAGGCTTCAGGATGTAAGCATAGGGTCTAGTAAAGGGGATTAATTCTCTAGGAGTAGACTAACAGATGTAATGAAGACTACCTGTGAGACCAGTTGGAATTTCATCCTCTTCAGCCTGAGAGCAACCACAGGCTCCATCCACGGCAGACTTCACATTCTCTTCATCAAATGCAACTTTCCCATCACTGTAAGGCTGGTTGCAGGCAAAGCCTTCCTGGGGAGTGGAAGCTACCGAAAAACATTCATCCTGGGAATGTGGGAACACCACCGTCTTTTCCACATCCTGCACGTTCTCACTGTGTCAGATGGAGAAGGGAGGACAGAAGATTAAGAGGACTCGACTCCAAGCTATCTGGCTGGTTTTGATGACAGGCATTGAGAGTGGTCACAGAAAGCAAAAGGGCAGCCCCCTTAAGGAGGGAAGTAACTCCTCCTGATGTGGAGCAGAGTGTGGCTGCCCTGGGGTGGGAGAGAGACAGCAGGTTCTCTGGGCACTGGCCACACAACCTGTGGTTGAAGGAGGAAACGGAACGTTCCCTGCATGCTATTGTCATGATGCCCAACATGCACAGAGGACTGGGACAGCAGTTCAAACTTTTCTGCACACATTGTGTTGATCTGGATATCCTGTGTCCAAGTGAACACAGCTGTTAAAAAGTTAAAAATTTGTTTCTGTTTCGACTCTATTCCATTCAATTTAAAAAATTTTATTTGCACAAATATACCTTCCAAATCAGTTTTTCAGAGTTGGAGAAAAAGGAGTTATAGACTAGATATTCTGCCTTCAAGAACTCTTTTTTCAATATTTTGTTGTAATATGACTATCGTTCTATTTTCTTCCCTTGAAATCCAATATTTGCCATCATGCTGATGCCAAACCAGTGTCAGACCATAGGATCTCACCCTGCATGAACCACTCAGGAGAAAGCACATGAACACAGGAACTCCTCGGTTTGGTTATTTCACCTGGGTCAACTCACTCTACATTACTAACCTTGAAGGATTAAAAACTGAAATGCAGAAACTTGTGAAACATAAACAGACAACGTTGTTAAAGAGATAATTGCTGTTGAATGAATAGATGAAAGAATTACATAGACTACTTTGTATTTTTCTCTGGATCTGACGTCTCCTGCTGTCACCACTGACATTCACAGCCCACAGATCTTCAAATTACCTGGGAAATGTGAGCTCTTGTCCACTCACTTGCTTGCGATAATTTTCACTCTCTAGTAAGAAATTCAGAGACAGCCAGTCATAATAAGAAAATCAGACCTCACACATATCTACTCAGTAATCACATATACAACAAGGACTTTAATATTCTCATTGTAAGAACATACTTCTTTATTTTTTTTCTTTTCCATTTATTTTTATTAGTTGGAGGCTAATTACTTTACATCATTGCAGTGGTTTTTGTCATACATTGAAATGAATTAGCCATGGATTTACATGTATTCCCCATCCCGGTCCCCCCTCCCACCTCCCTCTCCACCCGATCCCTCTGGGTCTNCTGGAACATGAGCTGAGTTATTTTCTAGAATTATTTCTATAGTACTGCTTAGTCCCATCAGATTATGTGGTTGTTGATGGTTTAGAGGAATTTATACTTGGGAGTAGAGTGATGTGTGAATTGTTAAAGCATTAGCTGCTCAGTAGTATCTATCTCTTTGTGACCGCACGGACTACAGCCCACCAGGCTCCCCTGGCCATGGAATTCTCCACACAAGAATACTAGAGTGGGTGCCATTCTCTTGTCCAGAGGATCTGCATGACACAGGGATTGAAGCTGGGTCCCCTGCATTGCGGACAGATTCTTTACCCTCTGAGCCACCAGGATAGCACAGTGAATTGTAGTAACACTCAAATCAAAAAGAATCTTTGGTGCTACACAGATACCATGGCCATTTGAAGCTGGAGGAACTGCCAGAGCCCAGCCTTGCTTCAAAATCCAAGCGAGGCTATGGTTCAGTTGTGTCTGTCTTGGTGTCAGATAACATCTTAGCTAAGACCTGCCAACATCAAGAAAAGGGAGACTGGGGTTGAGAGCAATAAAACAAAACTTGTCTTTATAAAGAGACAAGTTTGTCATCATTTCTGGAGAGGCCAGGAACATTTACAAAAATTAGATCACTGCAAGTAACAATACACTGGCTCCAAACTCCTTCTGACAGATACCTCCTGTGGATTTCCAGCTGAGGTGGGTGAGAGTTGTCAAAACTGATTTGGGTCAAATGCCTGACACTGGGGTCAGGGTGACAGAGGCAAGCCCGGAGCCAAGGAAAGAATGAAAGCTCCCTGACCCACCTGATGTCTCTGTTCCATAATAGAGCCTTTTCCCTGGTTTCGACTAAGATGTGTCTATACAACATGGCCTAAGAGATGACCTTCCTTGGTTTACACAGCTTGTGGGGAGAAATAATATGGGGGCTACCTGAGATATTGGTTGGAATTTCATCTTCTTTAGCATGAGAGTAACCACATGGTCCATCCGGATCAACATCTATTTCCAGTTCATTAGAGTTAAATTTGTCATCACTGTAAGGCTGGTGCTTATCAGAACTTCCTTGGAGAACTGAAGGCATCAAAACACGTTCATCCTTGGATTCCTCAGGCAATGCCTTCTTTTCAACCTCCTGCAGCTCCATGCTGTGCCAGATGGGAAAGGAATGACAGAAAATTAAATGAAGAAGATCTGACCCCAAGCCATGCTGGGTGGTTTTGACAGGAGGCATGGGGAGTGGTCACAGAGAGTCCAAGAGCAGGCCCCTTCAAGACAAAAGGAACTGTCCTCTCTTATATGAAGTGGAGTGTGTCTGGGGATGGGAGAGGAGGTCAAGCAGGTACCCAACAGACCAACCAGAAAACTCTGATGTGGAAGGAGCCTTAACCATCCCAGGATGGTACTTTCAGGAACAGGAAGCACAGATGAACTTTCACACCAAGTGCTTCCCCACAGGTCCTAAGCCATGTTGAATTTAAGATGAAGTAGTCAAGTGAATAAGGGCTTCCCCGGTGGCTCAGGAGGCTGAGTGGCTCCTGCCAATGCAGAGATGTGGCTTCGAACCCTGGAGAAATAATTCCTGAAAGAATGAAGAGATGGAGCCAAAGCAACGACAACAGCCAGTTGTGGATGTGACTGATGATGGAAGCAAGGTCTGGTGCTGTAAGGAGCAATACTGCATAGGAACCTGGAATGTTAGGTCCGTGTTTCAAGGCAAATTGGGAGTGGTCAAACAGGAGATGGCAAGGGTGAATGTCGACATTTTAGGAATCAGCGATCTAAAATGGACTGGAATGGGTGAACTTAACTCAGATAACTGTTATATCTACTACTGTGGGCAAGAATCCCTTAGAAGAAATGGAGTAGCCATCATGGTAAACAAAAGAGTCTGAAATGCAGTACTTGGATAAAATCTCAAAAACGACAGAATGATCTCTGTTTGTTTCCAAGGCAAAGCATTCAATATCCCAGGAATCCTAATCTATGCCTTGGCCAGTAATGCTGAAGAAGCTGCAGTGGAACAGTTCTATGAAGACCTACAGGACCTTC